TTTGTGCTTCTTTTGTACTCTCCTTTCTATCCCAGTCCTAAAATATAACACAAGAAGAAAAGAAAGAGGAGAAAAAAGGAAGTGAGAGAAAGAAAAAATTGTGTGTGAGAGAAGGATTAGAGAGAAAACAAGATGTCCTGATGCCATTAATGTGATGCTTGTTGTAAAAATAATTTGAAAGCAAAGGTTAAAATCAGTGGGAGGGTATATATGACTAGAGAATTGCCCATCATTATGGTTGATGCTAATGGTTGAACAGCTAGATTTGAGTCCAGTAACATCTTAGAGACCAACAAAATTTGGGGGGTATGATGATTGAGTGCTTGTTAGTAGGACAATGAAGCAGATAATCATGGCTATGATAGAGGTTGCTGTATGCTCAGGGAGTTCTCCAGATATGCAGAAAAATGTTACATTCTAAATTCAAAACAAAAGGCCCAGCTTACCAAAGAGATGGCCTCTTACAGTCTGTTTTGCCTCTGATAGACCAAGAGTGTTGAGAGTGATTGGTGCTCAACAGGGCTATTTTTGGGCAGGAACGCACAGGAATGGACTTCCGGCTGGCTTCAGAGTTGGCCATGCCCACTACAGCCAAAACCTTTGTGTGGCTACAGAGGGAAGGCCTGGAGAGTGACCCCCCCGGCGACTCTTGAGGCAGGGGGGCCAGGGGGGCCCTGGAAGGATCGGGGAGGCATTTAAATGCCTCCCCGTGCCTTCCCTGACCTGTCTAAGGGTCGGCTTGCCGGGGCTCCCCGCAGCGACAGTGCGCCCGGGCAAACCAAGGAAAGGCATGGGGTGTGGCCTAATATGCTTATGAGTTGCACTGTCAGGGGTGTGGCCTATTATGTTAATGAGTTCCTGCTGGGCTTTTTCTACAAAAAAAGCCCTGGTGCTCAATTCAAAGAAAAAAAGAATTGAGAAATGGGCCTCATTGAGACCCCACAATATATTGCCCCAGAGGGGTAGATTTGGACTGGGGGAATTTTCCCAATTTCTCTGCAGTTCATAGGCCCCAAAGTTGTATAGCTAGATTCTTCTGCATAAGACAGTTCTACCAATAGCTGAAAAGGCTACAGTGAAGTCATAACCATATCCCTAACAGCCAAGGTCAGACAGGTAAATCTGCACAATGAGTGAAGCCACCACTATGATTTGGACACAAGTGTCCCCGCCCCCGTAATAGTGTTATTACAAAATACCATACTGGAGTTCTATCAGTATTTTAGGATGACACAGAACCCAAAATGCTGTATGGCAACATGATAAGAACTGTCACCTGAAGCATGTGAGGAGGAGAAACCATCTTCATCTAGAATTGCCAGGTCCCTTTGTCATGCTGGTGAGGGGATTTGGGGTGTTCTGGGGGTGGGCGGGGTCACCCAGAAGTGACATCAGCTGTGACGCTCTGCTTTTTAGGCCAAACTCTATCGTAAAAATGGCCTCAAACCATGGAGTTTTGTCCAAAAAGCAGAACTTTGTCACTGATGTGCTGATGTCACTTCTGGGTGACACCAGTATGTCGCACACAATGTCAGGGTGGGGGGGATTTCCTCCTGCTGGCCAGCTGGCCAGCAGCAGGCAGGAGCCTGCAAAAGTGGGGGATTCCCCGCCCCCATCTGGAGAATGGTATCCCTATCTTCATCTTGTGCTACTTCTGATATTATCCCCCCCTCCTGTATCTTCCCCTGCTTTACTGTGCCAGTGGGGGTGAAGAGGGAAGCAGGTGGGAGAGGAGGCAGGAAGGAAGCCAAAGCAAGCTGGTAGTTGGAGGGAGGTGTGCATGGAAGAAGGGGGGAAGAAAGGCCATAGTGTATGGGGTTGGGTGAAGGAAATCACAGTAAATTCAGTAAACAAAATAAAGTGCAATGAAGCATCTGCCAATAATCACCCTCGGACCCTGACTTCCCCCCCCCAAAAAAAAAAAACCCACCTACCACTGAAAGGGGCTTGTTCCAAGCCCAAAGTTATAATTAATGATCATTTTCATTGTGTTGGATCCAATCAGATTTTCTGCTGGTGAATCAGGAAGGATGGGGCCCTCTTTGTCCACCGAAAAAGCAATGCTAAGGATCATGATACTTGCATGGATGAAAGCTATATGGGATGGGGGCTGTAATATTGTGGGAATTAGAGGAGATTGTGTGGAAAAGCTGGCTGAATCCAAGCCATTGTTATTGGTTGGATCCAACCTGTATTTACACTGATGAGAAAAGAAGTAGAGTTCCTCTTTGACCTCTCAAAGAGGCTCTGTTGGAGATAATGGGACCTGCATGGACAAAAGACATGCTGGGACAGGGGCTGTTAGGCTAAGACCTCCTACGTCCCATCCCGAGAAATGTCGATTGTAGGGCTAGGAAGAAATACCCATCTCCAGCACTGGTGCTGCTAAATGCCAGATCTATTAATAATAAGACCTCTGTCCTGCAGAATTATCTCATGGGGCACACCTGGCTTGTGTGACTAAGACCTGGGTGAGAGAGGGTGAAACTGTCATCCTAAATCCACCTGGTTTCTTGGTCCGCCACCAGTCCCGGACAACTGGGCGGGTGTGTGTATGCTTGTGACACTGCTTATTCGAGACTTTTTCCTTTAGGGCACTCCCCGCAGAAAAAATCACCGGCATTGAATGTGTTGGTCTGGCATGGGAAGCCAAGGAGAGTTTGGCCATCTGGCTGGTGTACCAACTGCCTAACGCGCCAGCAGATGGCCTACCTGACCTTTCGGATGCTGTGTCCAGCTGGGCATTGGAACACCCCAGGCTGCTAATCTTAGGGGATTTCAATGTCCATGTCAATGATGCAGCATCCTCACAGGGCAAGGATGTAGTATTGTCCATGGAGGCACTGGGACTCTCCCAATTTGTATCGACTCCCATGCATCAAGCAGGCCACATGCTGGTTTTGATTTTGGGGATGGGGATAAATGTGGATCTGGTGGGAGAAGATGCAGTTCCATGGTTAGACCACTTTGCCCTGAAGGTCTGGCTAAAAGTGCTGAAACCTCCCTGCTTAGGTGGTGAGTGGATTTATGCTCACCAACGGAGCCAAATGGACTGTAGTCAGTTTCAGGATGCTCTGTGGGATCCGATGCCCCCTGGTGGTTTGTTAGATGTGCTGGTGGCATGGCCGCCTTTATGTGGTCATCGACAATATCGCCCCCTGGCGCCCTCTCCGCCCTCGTAGCAAAGCTGCCCCATGGTATAACCTGGAGCTGTGGAGGATGAAATGGGAGCTGAGATGGCTAGAGTGAGTGTGGCGGCGTATACATGACGAAGCTGCAGGAACTTCTTATAGAATGTTTATGAGTCTATGAGATAAAAAAAACTAAGATCATGGCATCCGGCCCCATCACTCCTTGGCAAATAGAAGGGGAAGTCGTGGAAGTGGTGACAGACTTCACGTTCCTGGGAGCCCAGATCACCGCAGACTGTGACAGCAGCCATGAAATTAAAAGACGCCTGCTCCTTGGGAGGAAAGCGATGGCGAACCTAAACAGCATGATAAAAAGTAGAGACATCTCCCTGCCAACAAAAGTCCGCATGGTCAAAGCAATGGTATTCCCAGTAGTCATGTATGGCTGCGAGAGTTGGACTATAAGGAAGGCCGAGCGCCGAAGAATAGATTCTTTTGAACAATGGTGCTGGAGAAGACTCTTGAGAGTCCCTTGGACTGCAAGAAGATCAAATCAGTCAATCCTAAAAGAAATCAACCCTGACTGTTCCCTGGAAGGCCAGATAATGAAACTGAAGCTCAAATACTTTGGCCACCAAATGAGAAGGGAGCACTCACTGGAGAAGACCCTGATGCTGGGAAAGATTGAAGGTCAAAGAAGACGGGGACGGCAAAGGATGAGATGGTTGGACAGTGTCATCGACGCAACGAACATGAAATTGAGCCAACTTCAGAGGACAGCGGAAGACAGGAGGGCCTGGCGGGAACTGGTCCATGGGGTTGCGAAGAGTCGGACTCGACTGTGCGACTGAAGAACAACAAAAATGAGATGGCAGTGAAGTTTGCTAAGAAGGAGTTCTATGCAGCCTCCATTGCATGTGCGAATTCAAGCCCAGCCCAATTATTTAGGACTATTCGGTTTTTAACCCAGTTGCTACAAGGCAAGAAAAATGGTAGGGCATTGGCTATTGGCTGTGAGGCATTTGCAAAGTATTTCACAGATAAAGTCTTGTTGTTCCTCCAGGACCTCCCAACCACAATTGATACAGGAAGGGAACTGGAAGCCCCTTGTCCGTCTTGGGTCAGGGATCAGGCTCCCTACCTTTGACGGTACACCATTAGTGCCAGCTCAGAGGGTGAGGAGCTTAGGGGTGATCCCGGATGCCTCTCTCTCAATGGAAGCACAGGTCACTGCTGTTGCCCTGTCTGCCTTTTACCATCTTCGGCAGCTCAGGCAACTGGTTCCCTATCTCTCCCCCCAGGACTTGGCTACAGTGACCCATGCAATGGTCACTTCCATGCTTGACTACTGTAACTCGCTTTATGCGGGCTTGCCCTTGAGGCTGATCCATAAACTCCAGCTAGTGCAAAATGTGGCGGCCCGTTTGCTGACTGTTGCTTGTGTGGGTGCACATTCAGCCAGTGCTGTGCAGATTTTACTGGCTTCTAATTGAGTACCGGGGCTCAAGTGGTTAAGACGCAGAACTGCAGGCTGTGGAAGGTCAGTAGTTCAGCAGTTCGAGACCCGAGTTGCCGCATGATGGAGTGAGCTCCCATCTCTAGTTC